ATAACAGGGATCATGTGAAGTTACTACTAGGCAGGGAGAATCTCTCTCTCCCTCCTCTTTATTTTTTCTAACCCTTCTTCTCTGTCAGTTTAAAGAACTGGTAAAGTGGCCCTCCTAGTAAGTCAGCAGATGTTATTGGCCCCCACACATTTTAGTAGTCTATGTACCCACATTAATGACCTGAAAATAACCGACTCCTTTCTACTTTGCAAATATTCTTCTGTCTAATAACAAAAATATGGATTTCTCTCAGAATAAATGCCTAATATCACAAACATTTTCCCTCTTCTTAGAAGTAGTTGAACTAAAATAGATTCAGTATATTACTAATTAATGTCATGAAATGGCACAATTTTCAAAAATTTTCTGGGTAAAAAATATAGTTGCATTTTAATCTGCTGCCTGGTTAACTGGAGTCAATTCATACTGCACATAGGCAAATGGCTATTCACAAGCCTGGAATATGTTATAGATCAGTGGTTATTTTTTGTAGTCCCTGTGCATCACACATGTGGGCTCTTTGTGCATGCGTGGAACAGTTTTCGGGAAAATTTCAAAGCTGACTAATTAGTATTCAGTGTGAGCCCGGCTCCCAACGTGACTAGCATGAGGGCTCCCACCAAAATCTCAGTTCTTTGACCGCCATCATGAGCAAATCAGGAAGTTCCTCCTCTTATTTACGTCACGACATTGTTTGTCTTCAATGACTCTTTCCTACTTACTAGTTGTTTCTTCTTGCTAGAAGCAGAGAGTGAGAGAAAGAGAGAATAATTTTAAAGCCAGACCTCGGACTATGGGGGTTCTCAGTGGGAGAACATTCTCTCACTAACCCTCTGCTACCTCACACCTTGTTCAACTAACAAAATGGCATTAAAGTCTCCTTTCCGCAATTGCAATGCATGCAGTAAGAAACTCCCTCCTACAGATGACCATTGACTTTTCTGTTGTAGAATCCTGCTATCAGTGCCAAGCTTTTACCAAGCAGGCAAGGAAACACTAAGCTGACCGGCTAAAAGACAAACTTTGGAGCCACGCCCTACATGCAGAGGATCCTCCTATATGTCAGGGGCCCCAATTTTCCCAACCATGGAGGAGAAGTTAGCCCCTCCAGTGGGTAAAATTCCTAAAACAATGAAACTGAAGAAAACAGACAAGAAGGCAAAGTCTCTAAATTGCTCACCCTTAACAAAGAGAAGGGGAGCGCTAAAATGCATGGCTTTTCCACCATCTGCTGGTCTCCTGTGCATTGGAGATGTGGTGCCGTTGCAAGAACAGACCTGCCCTTCTGCTTTGACATCAAGGCAGTCTCAGGAGCGTTCCACCCAAGCACCAAAAAGCACCTCAGTTTCAGAGGGGGAGATTTGTGATCTATCTCCAGTTCTACTCTCAAAACTCAAGGACCTATTGGTACAGAGACAAACTTTGCCTGTGCCCTCAATCCCGAGCGTATTTCTCCAGTTAGAACAATAGAGACATACGCGTTGTCCTCGCTCTCCTTTGACCGAGACCTCACACAGAAGACATCAAACTCCCTTGCGATACCAAGGGGACTTCGATACTATTATCTCAAGTGATGGGGGTTCATTGACTCCAGTCACAAAGCCTCCCATTCAAGCCCCTCGGGGTCCAACTGGGATTCTGTAAGGGGACTTCAGCGCGCTCCTCCCTTTTCCGAGCCTGTTTGGGAACCTACCTAGGCAACTTTCCCTCTTAAGAGACGACCTCCTTCTTGCCTATTTAGCCACCATACAGACCAGACCAAACAGCAGTTTGACAGAGACCATTTCACCTCAATTTCGGTCATCTCCTGGAGCAACACTCTGACTTACCACTAGGTACTTGTATACCAACATTAGATTTTCCTTGAGCACCAGAGAACTCAAGCTTCTTTTCTTCCCAAGTCCTCCGCATGGCTCATAGTCTTGGGTTCAACCCCAGACAGGAACCAGCCAAAGTGAAAGACCCAGTCTTTGAAGCAGTCTGTACAGAGTCTGCCGGTCCTGTCGCCATCCTGCTTCTACCAGCCCTGCTCGCTTGGAAATCTGCTGCATCGGTAACCCCTCCACCTCACTGTCTCAAAATATGTACTGAGTTCAGGAAAAGGATGCTGAGTTCCTTTTTCAGCACCCTCAATCTAATGCTATTATTGTTGAGTCTGTTCAAGCTCACACTAGAAGAGAATATGCTCCATCTTTGATAAGGAAGGCAGGTGCCTCAATGCTATTGGTCACTGTTTTTACTCTTCAGCTGCTCTCTCTATAAAAATGGCCAACTATCAAGCCACAATGGCCAGATACGATCTTATGCTGTGGGACAGAATTGCATCCTTATGCTCTTCTTTGCCTAAGTCAGCTCAAGATCTAGCAAATGAGATTAAAAATGAAGCCTAGCCAGATAGGAGATCCACACAGCTCAACACCAAGCTAATTGTGGAGCCTGAAACATGGCCGGGGAAATAGGTCTCTGTTGCTTCACTTGGCTCTTATCCTCCGGTCTCTTTGGCAAGGCAAAAACGAGAATTGAAGACATGCCATTTGATGGTGCTGATCTGTTTCATGAGACCACAGATGACTATGGATTCCATCCAGAAAGAGAGGAACACTGCACACCGCATGGAACTCAATCAAATGGCACCCCAGAGATCATGCACCTCTTGTAAGTGACATAAACCCTCATGCACTTACCAACCAAGGACCCCTGCCACCACCACCACCACTACTAGACACTGTACCGCTACTTAAACCAGTCATCAAGATCCCTTGACTCGTATGCGCTCAACCCGTAGGCAACAGGACGAATTTAAAAGGGCTTTTTGAAGGTTGAGGAATGGTGGGGGTTAAAAGATGGAAGTGGCTGGCCTGGTGAGAAGAGCAGCAAAGATACAGGTGGCTGTGATAGAGGTGCCTTGGTGCCAAGGTCATGCAGTAGGAGGGAAAGAAGTGAAGGCTTGAAATTTACAGAAGCAGATATCCTCCTCCCCGGGACAGATGCCAGGAGGCAGGAAGGCAGATAAAGAACCATAAAAATGAATGCTTTTGCAGGCCTGGCATCAGGGAGGTAATTTTGTCGACTGACTTGTAGTTTATCATGCACGCAGGAACATTCAAACACATGATTTTACTTTCTGAAGTGGTAGTTTCTAGAGGCCTATACCATGTTTTTTCCCCTCCAAACTTATTGATTGGCCCACAGATATTTCTGGTAAAGGCAAAGCTAAGCATGATGGTAGCAGTCCTATGTCTTCAGATTCATGTTGCTACCGAACTTTAGTAAAATGTAAAAGGGCCCAAGTCTGTTCCAGGGCATTATTTTTCTAGAGGGAGCAATTTCCATTCTTGGATCCTGGCTTGGGAACAAGGATGGAAGGGAACAAGGGACAGCAGAAGAAAGTATAGTGCTCTTTCTTAGAAACAGAAACAGAGCGTGTCAGAAGGGGCTTGTGGATCATCTAGTCTGACCCCTGCAGCAGCTGATTCTGTTCGTGTGATGTCCAACATGTGATTGTCCAATATTTCCTTGAATGCCCTAACTGATGGGATCTCTACCACCTCCCATGGAAGCTCATTCCATATTGTAGGGATCCAAACTGAAACCCAATTCCTTTAGCTTTGCCCTATTGGATTGTATCCTTCCTTCTACCACAAGGGAAAATTGTTCAGTCAAAGACACTGAGTTGTTACGTTGTGAGTATTTGGCATGTTTTACATTTGCTACTAATATATCTATTTCTGACTTTTGGTTCTGCAGCCAATGCCTTGCAGATACCATGAAATAATATTATGCTAAATGCTATAGCGCTGAATGCATTTAGAGGCTTGCTGTATACAAGCTGGTCATGTCACTGCCGTGCAACGCACCAGATATACCAGAACTGCACTGAGTTTGGCTTTGCTCATGACAATCAAATATCTGTCAAGAAGAGTATGCTTTCCAGTTGCTTGGTTTTTGTTCCATGATAATCTTAAATAGCGCACTATTTATGGCAGCCTTGTTAATAGACTGACAAGAATTACTAGCCTGCTGCAAGACAGCTGGCTTGCACTTCCACGCTTGCTACAGGGAAAGGTGAATTCCCTCCTTTGCAACCGGCATGGAAATATAGGTTAGTAGCCTTTTACTAGCTGAGTTGTTAAATATAACACTGATCTATACATTATAGAACAGATTCACACTTGCTCACCCCCATTTACTTTAGTTGGGATCTAGCTGATTATGAATTTTGTCAAAAAGCACATTAGCAGCCACCACCACCACCAAACTCACTGGATTGTGAAACTGCTCCTATGTCATGTGACTCCTTTACTCATTATTTGGGTAGGGTCCGAAGCCCTGAACCTTGTGGCAAAAGTCAGCTGCCATTCATGAACTGCCGTTTGCTTACATGCGAGTGTTGCCACGTGGAAGTGAGACACTGATAAGGGAATGCAGTGGTTTCTAAGATACAAATACTGGTTTTTGGAGTGGATGATGGGAACCTGAGTGATGACATCATCAAGGAGAACTGAACTTTAAATAATAGGCTTTAATAGTAGATTTCACAACCAGTTACAACAACATGAGCAGATAATTATAGAAATGGTTTTGAGATGACTGCTGTATTCTTTTTAATTATGAAATACAGTAATGTATAGATGGTGAAATATATATATATGAATATGAATGGGGAAAGGCTGGGGGAAACTTGTTATCTTAACACTTTTGTCCTTAGTCATACACAGATGTGGGCAGAGGGGCAAGGAGTGGAAGAATGGTTAGGAGAGAAGAGAACCCTATTTATTTGAACAAGATTATATGAATATGGATGTTAGATACATTTTGAGTATTTTGGTGTTTTTCAGAATGTTCCTCAATCAAGCATTTTAGTAGAGATTCAGTAGGCACAATAGTATACAATGAAGCAGGGGTTATTCTTGTAATTGATTTTAATAGTTGTATTTATCTTCAGTCAATAATGACTTGTATTACAAAACAGTTCCTTGAATGTATCTGTTTCTTAAAAGCTTCATAATGAAGATGATACTCCAGAACCATCAGTGGTTGAACAACCATCCACCTCCACAGAAACTATGCCAGCTTCTCAAACGGAGGCACCTCTACCTGATGCAGAGACTTCACCTCCACCTTACTGTAGTGTTGCTACAGAAGCAGCTACAACATCAGGTACTAGATTTTGATTATATAACTTTCCTAGGTAATTTCAGCAGTGCTGGATCAGCAGATGAAGCCAGAATCATCCTTTCAGTCAGAAGTATATGTTATCACCATCACCTTCTATTGCTGTCCTGTTTAAAGCAGGAGTCAGGGAACCTGGATTACTTGAGATGATTATGGGCTCCAAATCCCATCATCTCTGACCATTAGTCACATTGGCTAGGGCTGATAGATTTGGGATTGAAGAGCTTTAGGGCCACATATTTTCCATCCCTGGATTAAAAATGATTTTCTCAATGATTAAGTATCAATGTACAAATGCTTAACATGTCAAATAACTAGATTTAATTGATGTTCAGTTTGCATTAATTCATAAGCTTCCTTCTTTATGTAGAAGATGAGTATCTCTTAGTACTGGTTAAAGCATGACCACCAACCATTAAAGGAATCTTAACTTTGTGTTTCCATAAAAATGAAAATAATAGTTATTAAAAGAAGGATACTAATTTAGTTTGAGATGATGTGTGTGTGTTTGAAGATTATCTGTCCCCTGTGTGCAAGAGACAAAAGTGAAATAATTAGTAAAAAGGTTACTATTCAAAACTGGTTTATTAGGGTTTACCAAATAGCAGTAGTGATCTCATAGCAGTCTTGTTAGAGAGCTAGTGAAACATCAGAGTTAACAGAAGCATAGAAACAGAGCGAGTCAGAAGGGGCCTCTCAGGCCATCTAATCTGACCTCTGGCTCCAGCTATGGTTGGACCAGTCTTAGATAAGTGAATGGAGAAATGGTCTTTGACTTCCAGAGTCCTACACAACTTTTTGGAAAGATATACTTACAGGCACTGAAGAAAATCAGTACTTGTAACATTCCTTCAAAAATGCAAATGTTACTGTATTAAGTTGGCATTAGCCAATCTTTTAGTTTGTTTTGAACATCCATGTTCTTCCTTCAGGAAATTGAAAGTACTGTAAAACTGTTAAAAATTATACTTGGACCATTAACTTAGAAATTTAAATATAGAGCTGAGAACCATATAATGTTTCAAACAACAAAAATCCTCTTTAACAGCTATGAGATAACCTTGTCCTTTTAGCTTACATTGAACTGAGAAACATCACTGTCACGAGTACACTGTCACGAGTACCTATAACATGTTGAGATATGGAGTGTCTTTAACTTTTTAAAATCTCCCTTTCTTGGTAGGTAAAGCTGCCACCAGGGATTTAATCCCAATTTAATTACTTAATCTCTCACAGTATTGTGCCCAGTCTGTAAAGCTCCTATATTGGATTATGTGGTTGGGAGGACAAGGCACTGATAATCAGCCTATTACTCTGAGCTAAAAATAAACAGAGTAAAACTTTTTGTGCAGTAAGTATATTGGTTTCAAGTTGTTCTGCAACTTACTATTATACAATGTTTTATTTACCATGAAAATAACTTCTGAGGTATCTCACTCTTTCCCTTCACAAGCCTCACACACAGATCCTCCTTTCTCTCCTGTACTCAGGTTTCTGTCAGCTTCTTTCTCACACATCATACTTGACAATATGTGGTTCTGACTCTCACTAATATGTCCTCCGAGTATTCTACTTCCTTCTTTAGAATGCTTTACGTAGAAACATAGAAATATAGAAGCAGAGCAAGTCAGAAGGTACCTCCCGGACCATCTAGTGTGACCACTGGCTCCCGCTGGCTCTGCTCATGACATGCCTACCATGTGCAAGTCTAGCCTATCCTTGAACACTCTTACCAATGGGGCTTCAACCACCTCCCACGGAAGCCCATTTCATACCCTTGGGGCCCTAACTGTCAGGAAGTACTTCCTGGCATCCATATTAAACCTTGGTTCCTAGAGCTTTGCTGTGTTGGAGCACGTCCTGCCCTCCTCTGCAGGGGAGAACAGGTCTCTACCCACCTCTGTGGGATACCACCTCACGTACCTATATGTCATCACCAGATCCCCCCTGAGTCTCCTCCAGGCTGAAAAGACTTAGTACCCTCAGTCTCGCCTCAAGCATTACACAGCATTATCTGGGATTGTAATGAGAAGGCTGCCTCTTCAGCTTCTGTAGACCACAACTCTGTCAGCTAACTGCTGACAGACCACAACACAACTGACTGTTTCCTCTCTCTCTCCCCACACACTTCCAAGCTTTGCCCACACACTCTCAGTCACCAACCAATCACCTCACTCACTTATCCCCCTCAGTTACACCCCCTGCTCTTCTGAAACTTACCAACATTTAAGGGAAACAGCCTCGTAACACTTTAAATAATCCCAGTCACATTGTATGTAAAACCACCCAGAAATAGTATATTCTTTGTAGGTAAATATTTGATTTAACTCTCTTACAAGTATCAGAGATTGTGGTTCAACCTGATTATTCTTTAGTCTCTAAATCATGGTTTGCTGTGTGTTCTTTTACAGAAATTGAATTGCCTAATGATTTTTACCCAATGCCACCTCCATACAGTGTAGCTACCTCTCTTCCTACTTACGATGAAGCGGAGAAAGCCAAAGCTGCAGCAATGGCAGCTGTTGCAGCAGAAGCAGCAGCCCAACGAGTGAGTAAGCAATTTGTGTGGCAGCAAAGCATAAAGTTTTGAAATGTGCTATTGACATTGACACCAGCAGGTATGATTTACAAGTGCTTTCTTCGGCAAACATATGTAAAGTTTGAATGATTTGTTAAAGGTTCTCTTGCTTATCTGAAATAAGACTGGGTGAGTCTTAATTATCTGTGCAAAGCACCTTAAAAATTGGAGACTGCCTGTGCAGCTGCTTTAGCACATAAAATCCCAGCTGACCATTTCAGAGTCGACATCAAGGGTTGCCGTATCATTAGCCTAGCCTTGCCCTACTTGTAGCTAACCAAGCCAAGTGCGGCCCATTAATCGACCCTTGCCTGCCAGGAACTCAAGTGAACTCTTTTGCTTTTTAAGATCTAGGTGGGCATCTCTAAGAGCTTTACTGAATCCCTCATAGACCACCATACATATTGAGTGGATTGCCTTTGGTTTGGTGGATTACTCTTTATTTATTATATTTATGTCCCACCTTTTTCCTTACAATGTCTCAAAGTGGCTTACATCATTCTTCTCTTACCGCTCCCAATCTTATCCCCACAACAACCCTTTGAGGTAGGCTGGTCTGCAAGTCTGTGGCTGGCCCAAAGTCACCCAGTTGGCTGCATGGCCAAATGGAGACTAGAACCCAGATAGCCTGAGTCCCAGTCCCACACTCTTAACCACTACACCACAGGGGCAGTTAAAACTTCTTTCAATAAGTAAAATTAATATCATGCTGAGACTGGTTAACATTTTGGGATTCCTGCGGAGCACTATTGGAAGATAATTTTGTTATATAAATGTGTAGCAGATCAACTGCAAATGCTTAAGTAAAACACATTTTTGTATGTGACATTTCCTTCAAGTATCTCGTTTCTGATTAATACAAATTGATTATTGCTATACTCAGATTCTGAAATGTAAATCATTGGAATTTTTTTTGTTCTGAGCTAGTTTCAATATTAAATCAAATAACACTTAAAAGTTAATTGCATTTAGTAGAAGCAGTACTTGAATGTTTCACTTGTACTGAATGGCTTAACACTCCTTTAGTTTTTCTGTCTTATTTTTTTTACATGCTTAGCACGGCCAATTTAGGGAGTCTAGGAGTCTGTTTGATGAAATATTCCTGAGCCCACCAGAGGTATGGTACAGTTCTATGAAGTTTAGATTTTGCAGTGAGTTTTTCTTCCTGGTGAGCAAAAACAAATCTTCCTTCTTGTGAAGAACTTGCCACTACTCACATCTCAGACTAATATGTTAAAATGCACAGTACTTTACCAAAAGGACACTAAATTGCAATGCGATCCTACATGTGCTTAATCAGCTGTAAACCATACTGACTTCAATGGCATTTTGTTCCTGGAAATAACGTATAGAATTTAGCCTTAGACTGCAGTCTTCCATATAGGAATGTGGTATGCAAAGGGACTTGTGACACAAACAGAAAAAATACGCTTTGCATTGTGCATGTGATCCTTGAAATCCAAGGCCTTTTTATTTGAAAGTCCGGTAACCGCTGATCTGGTAAGATGGGCCATTCATATGCTAGCACAGCCTTTCCCAATATGACGGCTTCCAGAATTGTTGGTGTACAACTCCAACCAGTCCCAACCAAAATGGTAAGGGGTCAAAAAAAGAGTTGTCGTCCCAAGCGTCTAAAGGAGACCACACTGGGGAAGGCTGCTGTTGAGCATTTGCTACATTCATACATACCAGCTTTCACTTATGTGGACACACACGTTACTCAAGGTCCCTCAGGTTTTATAGTTGTCCCTGCTGAGAAACAAGATTACTGGCTTTTAGGTTAGACAATTGAAGCTACTTTGATTGGGTGTGTGAAGTACCTCAAATAGAAATGGTAAAAATGGTGAAAGAAAAATAATTTGGATGTCACACATACTTTTAGTCCATCAGCTTAATGGGTATAGAGTATTCTTTTCAAGAGTGAATTATGTTCCTCTTCTCCAGTAAATAAATTCACTTTTATGTTTAAGAATAGTGTAATATCAGTAGCATAGGATCAAGCTCTTTGACAGGGTTCCAAGCACAATCTGTAGCAGTGTGATAGCAGAATAACATGTTGCCAGGAGTTACTATATCCTTTACCCTGACAAATAGTGAATGGTTATAAAATTCTGAAGTAAATATAATTAGGGTAACTGGGGTCACTTTTTCAGTTGGTACCCCTCAAATTCCACTCACGAGAATTTTTAAGCAAAAATATGTATACTGTGCATAGGTGTGCATGTGTGTAAATTCATATATGCACACTTTCACAAAAAAGGTTTTTGCTATTATGTAGTATTTTGTTTACTGGCAGGTTAAAAAAAACAGCCTGATGATAAAGTAATATCCCACTAACACATATTTCAGTATATCTGGCTTTGTTTCAAGTCACTAATAGATTACTCCTCTGTGTTTCTCATTCTATGCTGACTGCATACTGGTGTGAGTAATTGTTTTTCCATATGCATGCGCACAGGGTAAATGTTGAAAGGAGTATTCGGGCCATGTATATATCCCACCCCCAAAGTATTTCTGCTTCCTTTGTTCATGTGGTCAGAGTGTCAGTGTAACTTCTGAAGTTGGGAGCTGCCAGTACTAGAGGCTCTGCTTGTCATTTAGACTCCTTAGGATGCTGGATTCCAACTCGTACAATGAGGCACCATGAGTAGAGGAGACTTCCTGCTTCAGAAGTTATGCCAGACATGACAACAGTGGGGGCAGGGGTCTTGCCTCTGCTATGACTTTCAAAAACAAATGTGTAGAACACAAGAAACTAGGTAAATACCTCAACTTATCTGATCGATACAGGCTGCAGTAGAATTAATACCTTCTGCCTCAGAATTAAGTATCTGGATTGCTTGTGTACAAATTGTTCAATTTTTAGTAGTTCTTATGCAGGATTTGTAATTTCTCCAAACAAAATGGGCCTGAGATAAATAGTTTGGGAAGAGTGGCAACTTCAGTGGCATTCTCTAAACTTTAGTCCTTTGAAATTATGTGCTGGTCATAAATGCTATCAGTAGGTTATGAGGATCTACTGTTCTAGATTATTTAGGATGCTAGCACCCTCTGGTGTCTGAATATCAGCAAAGCATTTGGTTTGAAATGCTTCTTAGTTTCTTGTGGCTGACCCTGATTAATAGTATTAATAGCATGATCATATGTTGCATGTCTCAGTGGTACACTTACACTTACGCTGCCTGTTTTCTAAAAGCAGGAGAGGTAGCAAAACCTTCGGCATTACAAAATATACTAAATTACAGTTGTTCAAATGAGCACCGAGGCAGGCCCAGACTTCAGTGGGCAACTGGTGTAATTCATAATTTTAGTGACAGCAGTTATATTTAAATACTGATACCTCTTGCCTCCATATGCTTTAGGTAGTAAAAAGGGCTATTCTAAGAATGCCAGATTTCCTGAAGGGTCAGTAAGACAATAGGCTCATGGATTTTGGTCTGTTGCTGGTATACAAAATATTCCAGTTTCATAATTTATCAGATTTAGTGAGCCTTCCCATGTGTGTTACTGGCGCTTGCTTCCATCACAGCAAACATATGCAACAGATATTTGGCCTTTCGTGGTGGCTTCATTTCTCTCTAATTGTGTTGTGAATGTCTATTCAGTGGAAAATGTATTCTTTTTACTGCAGATGCAGGAGAATGGACCTAGAACTTTCTCTTACAGAATATGTGTTCTACTGGTAGGCTAGGGCTTCAGCTTGGAACACATCTGAACAAAATGCAGAAACTCATGATATAGAACTATATTTAATATTAGTTTAACTTAAGTCCTATTTATTTCAGTGAGTCTGCTCCGAGCAAGGCTAACATTTCCTAGAACTAATAAAAAGCAAGGAAGCAAGAAACATACTAGTATTGCCCACTGGATTTGAAAACACATTAAGATGTCACATTCTGGGACCCTTTGTTAAGTATCTATAGGTGTGTTCTGCTGGTGGCCACTTCACATTGGGTAAAAATGCTTTCCCCCCATAAATAATGATTGGAAAAACATGTACACATATAAGGATCAGAGACTGGTTGTGAGGAGCAGCCAGTTTATGCTCCAGCTTGTGTGTGCACGTCTTTTCAATCATTGCTTGTATCATTCAGCTTACACCTTATGTACACATGCCATGAATTTGACTTGTGAAGCAGCTGTCTGGCTTTGCATGGCAAGACGGCCTCATGCAGTGGGGCACTAACAGAGGCCAAGGGGTGCACCGGTCATGGCTTTATTGTTGTTGTGTGGGAGGCCCCAAAATTCATTGTTGCTTTTACATGCAAAGGGTAAAAGGTCTGGATAGAACTCTTTATAAAGTGCTCTGACTGTTAGAAGGTAGAGAAGGAAGAAAATTATTCCTTTCACAAATGGGGTATTAAGTAAGGCAGACTTAAATATCACCGTTAGTGTTAGATGGATTTCAGTAGTTTTGATTGTGCTAATTTCAGATGGTGATATTTATTTAAAATGTTCACATGGCACCCTATAACCATTTTCTCAGAGAGGCTTACAGCTAGATAAAAACATGCTACATGTACTATTTCAAAAATACAGAAAAGTAGCCTTATTAAAATGAATGTAGAACAAGAACAGATTAAATGACTTAGGTAAATTAAGAAGGTGTTCATCTGGTGCCAAAATTGCTTTAAAGTAGGTGCCAAACAAGCCTGGAAGGATATTCCAAAGTTAACATAGAGCCACAGGATGCGTTTTATTCAGAGAGGGGCCTCAGAAGATGATCTTATGTTTCAGGAAGGTGCATATGGAGATACAGTACTTTAGGTAGTTTCTTCCCAAGTCATGAAGGACTTAAAAGGTCAAATCCAGCATTATGAATTGTACCAAGAGCAGGCAGGGAATCAGTGAAGATGGTAAAGCACTGGGGCGATATGCTCCTACTTCCCAGTTCCAGTGTTCAGGTTTCCCTACTTTCTTCAAAGGCCAGCTCTATGTGCTCCATAGCAAAAACTGGAGTTTAGAGGAAATAGGTAACTGAAGCCTAACTGTTTTGGTAGGATTTTAGATGGCCAATGAAAAAGTGATAAAAAGTACTTCTCTGCCATGGAGGTGAGCAGCAGCTTCTATGAAAAGGATGGATCAAGGAGGAGCATTGATCTTCTTTGGTGAATATAATCTCTGGAATAGACTGAATGCTGGTCACCTAGGTACTGAGCAGTCACAATTATGACTTCTATCTGCTACTTTGCTGAATTCTATCAATCAAAAACACAATTTGCAGTTTAGGCCTCTGGGAGCAGAGTTAGGTGACTGAACTAAAACCCCTCTTCTATCATTTGGCACAAATGTCCTGCCCTTTTGAAGAACGGTGTTGGTGATTTCTATAAATGCTTATTGAGAGTGATTGTGATCATGTAGTTTAAGCAACTGAAGTGCATGTCCTCAGTAACCTTGCTTCCTTACATGCATAACTGTTGCTGCTTATAAGTGCAGCTTGAAATGTTTTAATTGTTTTTGGCATGTAACTTTAAAATGTAATTGTCAACTTAAAGGAAGAAGAGTATCCACCAAGAGATGATTTCAGTGATGCAGACCAACTACGTGTGGGCAATGATGGGATCTTTATGTTGGCCTTCTTCAGTAAGTAGCATGGTTTCTTATATCTGCAGTATCACATTGGTTTAAGGTCAAATAGCAGAATGCTTGATGTAACTAATGCTGTACTTGTGACCACGTAATACATGTTATACATACATGTATTATGTATTATGCAATACATGGGGAGAATGTTAATAGATTAAAACCTTTTTACACTGTTGTTGTCTTTTGAGGCTTGCTCTACTTATGTATCGGGAAGCCACAGCCAGTCGTAACTGACATTTGATGTGTACTTTCAAAGCATCCATTTGGCAGGTTCATGATCTGTAACATATGAGGCAACCCTGAGTGAGGTTTGTGTTAGTATTAAAGATGGTCATGGATATAAAGTCTGAGCAAATTTCACTCTCTGAACTGCAAACTTACTGTTTCATTTAACAACTTTTCTATTGCTGAATAAATGGAGGAAAGTGCAGAGTGATTATTTACCTTTTCAAATATCTGAAGCTTTTATTTATCTCAAGCGTACAAGCAAGTGTAATTTTTTTAATATGGAATTAAGATGGGGACCATAGCATGGCCTTTTGCTCACTAACAGAAGATGCCAACATTTGGAAATGAAAGTTTACCAAATGTCCTCTGTGGATATGTGTATGAGCATACACTGCGTCAGAGATACACCCATCTCCGAGCACAATGCGTTGCATGTTTAGACAGAAAAAGGCCTACCACTTCCAGCATTGCCTAGCTCTAAGGTGATCTTTGTAATACAGTCATCATGGCTTTTGAAAGAGATGCTCCATTGCCAGGTACTCACACGGATCTTCGAAAATAGGATTTGTTACTGGATGCATAATCATTCATTGCTCTTAAGAATTAACTTATTTGGCAAAAGATGGTATGTCATGGAATCATGTGGTCTTTATATGACAAACAAACCTATACATAGTGAGAGTGAGTGAAAAGGGAACAACAAAAAGTAAAATGAATAGCAAAGACATCTGTGCTTCACCTTCAAATGGTGAGAAAATTTAGCTGGTTGGCAGCTAAACCAAGGGGTGTGATACACGGAAGCCTCAGCTACACAGATGAATGTGGCTTTTTGCTAATGGTAAGTGCAGCTAAGTACAAAAAAGTATAAAGTGGTATATATTGGGGCAACACAGATTGAACAGCTTGCCAACTTAAGGGTACTGTTTCTCAGTTCAGACATGCAGCCTTATTCTGACTAGACCAGCATTGCAATAAAGTTTTGCATTTATAGTAATGAAGCATTATAATAAAGGTTGCAATAGTTACTCTATGCATTGTATATATTACATGTATTGCACATTGACATAGAACTTACTTTCAAGCTTAATTTGTTTCAAGCTTAATATCAAGTTTTGAATGTGCAAAGAACAGATGATTCATTGGTGATGAGTGACTGCCATCTTGTGTCATATTTCTACATTGCAACTGTCACTATTCAACTGTAGAGATTTGTGGTATATTGCAGTCATCTGTGCTGATACTTGAAACTGAGTGAAATAAATCAATCCTTCAATATAAACAGCCTCAGACATTAAAAAACTCTGCAGATATGCTGTGTAAATAGGGATTACTTGTAAAACCAGTCCTGTCACCCCAGTACATTGGAGGGTAAAGCAGAGTAATGGGGCAGTGGTTTCAAGATAGCTTCAAGTTAACCAGGCCAGTATAGATCCAAGCACAGCAGCGGCACAACCCTAAACTTGCACAATAAAAAGGCCCAATAAAATACAAGGCTTTCAACTTGTGCTGCAAAGGTAGCAAATGCAGTCCAGGCAAATCTCTGTGGAGAGATTTCCAGAGTTGAGACTGTTTCCAAGCTCAACCTGCCTAGCTGGGACTAAGAGAAGGGCATCCAAGACAGATCATAGTGTGTGGGTATGTAAATGAAGAGGAGGTGGTCCTTGAGTTCTTCATCGTGATCTCTGTGCATCACACATATGGGTGCTACGCCTACGCAGTGCCTGTATTTGGGAAAATTCTCTCCGCATTAACTGCCCTCCCCCCTCCTTAATAGGTGGGGTTCCTGCCCTTTCGCCAGTCTTCTTACAACCGCTATTCGCTGTGCCTTGGGTTTCTCTCGCTGCTATTCTTTAGAATACCTTCTTCTACTTAAAGCTTTACATTATCTTAAAAAACGTTACCTTTAAATCAGAAACGCTTTACTCTTTATTCCTTTCTCCAATTTTTCGATTCTCCCTCCCTTTCTCTCACTTCCACAAAAAACAAAAAAAACAAAACACCCTCTATTGTCTTACCCTTACTTCCAAATTCTATCTCTTACTCCTCCTCCTTGATGGCTCAGTGATCTAGGTTCAGAAAATGTGCTCAATGCAGGGCTAAAATGCCCGCAGTGGATACACACTCACTTTGTCTACTTTGCCACCGGTGAAGGCCACCGAGTAGACAAATGGGTGCACTGGCAAGTTTTTACAATGCAGGCACGTAAAAACCAGGAGACTTGTCTTAATAAGGAGCTCGGATAGAGCACTGGTGGCAATGAAAGAAGTCGCAGGGGGAAATCAGCCAGTCCTTTTTGTTTCTCAGGGTGGCACTTCTGAAAGTGCATGTAGACCAACTGAGGAAACCTCCAGAGCCTCAGGACTGATGACAAGAACTGGTATGTCTTAATCTCCAAAAAAGCACAAGGAGAAACTTGAGCACATTGAGGTGAAGGAGGCTTGCAAGGAAAAACATGTTGAGAAGAAGCCAAAGAAGAAAAAGCACAGTTCTCATACTGAACATCGCGTATACCACTGCAAACTGAGGCAATGGTACCAACCACCACCTCGGTATCAATAGAAAGCCTGGTACATCCTCTGTCAGTATGCTACTCTCTGAAACTCTCCTCAGATTCGCTCAAGCCCAAGAACTCCACCACGTGCTGAAGCTGTCCGTGTAGATCCACCTCTTCCAACCTCAATCTCAGAGGGTGAAATAAGAGATTCCTCAGCCCGTTCTTGAGCATCATCTGAATCACCAATATGAGCCCATTTCAACCCATTGCTCTACATGCTTTCCAACCAGACATCCCAAGAGCCAAAACTCATCCATACTGGAAGATGCCTCCCCTTCCATACCCATACTATACTTTTCAGTATGGATGGGACTACATGCCATATTATACATACTCAGTACTTCCCAGTTGCATCGATAACAGATGAGTGACACTCCATCTATCTCCTGAGCTGCTGAGACCAGTCCTCGACAGCAACATGCTTTACCGACAAGTTCCTCATCTTTAAACTTGCCATATGATTTGGACTCGGATTTTAATGCCAATGCCAAAGAAGCCTCTTCAACATTACTGGACAATATGATTTCAAACCAGGGCCCTGGATTGCCAGGTGAAAGTCTTGGATGCTTTTCAGAGCAGGTTGTGTGTATTGTTATCTCTCTAGGCATCAATGTTTAGCAAAACACTGCACCCAAAAGGGACACTATTTACAACGTCATCTGCTCTGAGGATGCAGTCCCAGTGGCTCTTCCATGCATATCGACTCTGCAAGAAGCCATGACTGAACCTTGGGAATGGTCATTTCAGCCACATCCAACATCTTGCAGACTGGAAAGCATGTACAGAGTGAGGGAACAGGATATTCCCTTTCTTCTTCACCACCCTTGACTGAATTCAGTAGTCATAGCGGCAACCCAAGACTGCCAAATTCAAGAACACTCTACACCAGCAGATCGTGAGGGTCATCATATTGACATGGTGTCTCATCATATCTATTCTGCTGCAGGCCTCGGACTCAGGATATCGAACTACGAAGCAATGATGGGCCGATACCAGTTTTTCCTTTGGCAGAAAATGGAATAGCTGGCATTGTTCCTCCCTGATCAGCAGAAGGATTTGGTGAGGATCTTCATCAACAAAGCCATGCAGCTGTCTGAACAACAACTGGCCATGGCAAGTCACCGTTTCAATTCCAACTCCTGAGCACTGGTTGGTGCTGTCGTCCTTTGCCGTTATGCCTGGCTAAGAGCTGTGAAACTCTTATACGGAAACTGCTTATATGGAAAATATGCTCTTTCATGGAAGTGGTCTCTTTCACTCCAAGACCAATGAAAGGCTCGACTCCATTCAAAAGGCAAGACTGACAGCCTGCCACATGACCTAGGGATCAACTCAGTGGACCCATAAGTGGCCTTGGGTCAGGCAACATCAAAACCACCCATTCTTTCCCACATACCAAGGCTTCTTCACTGCCAAAGAGCAGTATTGACAAAGGCAATCACATTCACACCATTCTGACACCACTCAGTGACAACAGTCCAAAAAGAGCCCTGATACCGAAAAATGTCAGTGGTGATTGGGCGTGCAAACTAGTCCTCTTACCTTTTCTATCCCTTCACCACTCCCTTTTGTGGAATGATTACAACAACATATCCCCATCTGGGAATCCATCACATTGGACTGGGAGGTTCTATCCATTATAAACCTTGGATACCAAATCTTATTTGAAACCATTCCCCCTCTTGGTACAGTTAGGACAATGACACCTTCTCTGGTTCTCCTTCAAGAGATTAAAACACTATTACAGAAAGAAGCAATCCAGAGAGTAGACCATAAAGAGTGGCAGCAAGGTTTCTATTCAAAATACTTTATGGTACCAAAAAAAAGATGGAGGTCTCCGTCCCATCTTAAACCTATGTGGCATGAACAAATTCATAGGGGCAAAATTGTTCAGAATGACAACACTTCAGAATATCCTGCCTTTATTACAAAAAGAGGACTGGTTTAAATCCTTAGATCTCCAGAATCCCTGCTTTCATATAGCTATCCACCCTACATACAGACATTTCCTCCTATTTGAAGTTGGTATGGAGACATTCAGATTCAAAGTGCTCCTCTTCAGACTTTTGACAGAACCAAGAATTTTAGCGAAATCTGTGCCCACCTCCAGTTGCAGGGCATACAAATATACTCATACTTGGATGAATGGCTACTAGTAGCATTATCTTGGGATAGTCTTCTGAACTTGATCGCCACAACCTACAATCGTTTTAGCTGCTTGGGACTTCTTATAAATGATAAGAAATCTTCACTTGTCCCTTCATGGACAATTACTTACATTGGGGCATGTCTAGAATCATTGGAGGTAAGAGCCTATCTACCAACACATCACAAACACAAGCTTCACCGGTCAGTTTTGAAGCTTTTCTCAGCTCTGACTCCTACAGTCTGAGCAATCCAGCAAACCTTGGGTCATATGCATCTATGGTATTGGTGGTCCAACATGCAAGGCTTTGAATGAAACCACTGAAACTCTGGTACAACCAAAATTACCATCCCGAACACCCCACCAAAGTACTGAGGACACTGCACTGGTGGACTACACATCCCAACGTAGATCAGGGCATGCGGTTTTGACCATCAAATCCAACAGTGACCATACATACTGACACATCTCAAATCAGTAGAGGGAATTTGTCACGGTTGTGAGCTGACAAAACATATGAACTACGTGGAATTACTTGCAGTATTCAAAGCTCTTCTATCACTCCAGAACAGAGTGACAGGACAGTGTATGTGGATTGTGACTGACAACATCTGCACAGACAACATCTCCCTTCTATATAAACAAGCAGGGAGGGACAAGATCTGTCCCTCCTGCCCAACTATTGATACTCCTCTGGAACTGGTGTGTACACCACAATATCACTCTTCAGGTTGTACATGTGGCTGGCACCAAGAACAATGAGGCAGACTTTCTAAGCCATGCACCCATTCCAACCACAGGTGGGAACTCAATTGGAATGTACGCCATCTACTGTTCAGTCACTGGGGAACACCGACAGTTAACCTATTTGCCACAAACCACAACAAGACCTGCAAACTCTATTGCTTGAGAGCTGGAGTTGGAAAGAACTCATTGGGAGATGCATTCACAATCCACTGGAGCAACTATTTCTTCTGTGTATTCCCACTGATACCAATGATAACCAAGAGCCATAAACAAGATGAGACACAACAGAACCAGATGCATCTTGATAATCCTGTGGTGGCCTAGTCAGGCCTGGTTCACAACTCTTCTGGACATGTCCTAAAGGACATTCCATCGGCTGCCTAACATTCTGGACCTGATCTCAAGAGACCAGGGGATGGTCCTTCATCCAGATCTCCACATCCTCAACCTAACAGCATGTTTGATTCAGTGATGCATACAGAACAGTCAGTCTCAAGGCCCTGTGGAAAACTCTGGCCGCATAGGCCACTCCTCTCATCTGATGAGGCCAAACCTCATCTTGCCTGGGAAGATTCCAGGCCAGGCATCATTCCTGTGGCTCCCTCTCCTCTGGATGCCAAGGGAAAACAGGTGAGCCCCTCTATTTTTTCACACCAGCCAATAGTTAGAATAACCCTCTAACTACCAAGAAGCTTTCTTTTTAGATGGGGCCTCACTGTTTGTTTTTGGGTTTTGGTTTTTTGTGTTTGTGTTTTTGTTTTTGTTTGGCAGGCAGGATCATCCATTTCAGAGAGGCATTTATAAGTTCTCGGACTCATCCAGTCTTGCATCAACAGAGTGAGCTGGAAGGAGCATGGGTTGAACAAACATGTTGTAAACCACACACTTCCAAACACCTTATATGCATCCTCAGGCCACAGTAATCGAACTGTATCAAATCCCATCTGACTTGATAGCTCTGGGTGCATTTATGTAACTAGAAATAATGTGGCATGCAAGTTGCTGTGGCTGTGAATAGTTTTATTGAAGTGCTTTGAAAAGAAGCCATAACGGGCCACCAGGTCTTCTGTATTATCTTTCTAGTGGCTAGATTAAAGAAAGCCATTGACCACTGGAAAAATTCCAAGGATAGAGTGCTGGGGGGAGGTATTGTTTCATCTCTTCTGTGTCATTAGTGGAATATAGGTGCTAGAATGTATGTTTGGATTTAACTAGAGTTCACTAGTATTCTAGGCATTGTACCATTTGTTTCAGTATCCCCAGTTTCCTCTCAAACCACAGAGCCAAGCTGACCCTTAGGAGCATTCAGGCAGGGCCATCAGCTGTGTGATTCGGAAGTTCCCTCAGGGAAGAACCTGTCTGGATTGATTGGCCACCAGGAGCAGACCAATCTAATAGGGTTAGTATGCTTACCATGGAAAGAAGCATGGCAAGTCTAAACCTTACTGATGGTCTAATCACAACAAAGGAATTGAAATCTGATATAATCAGACCACAGTTTTATTGATAGGAAAAGAACCACATCCAGAGTGTGACCTACCTTATGTTAGGTTGAATTTTTTTTTTTTTAAGGTTGAAATTTTTTATTTAAATAAAAACATACTACAAAGAGGCCAATGACAAGTTGAGACAGCCCCGTGGTTGACATGGCAGCCTTGAAGTCCTGAGCCATCTTCAACAAAATAGCCTTGGCATGAGCATTGCAATCTCCCAAAACCACCATTCATCAGTTTGGGTAGAAAAACTGTTCATTAGCAGGGTGGTTAGTCCACCAACAGAATCCTTAATCTATTCTAAATGCCTCTTACCAGGTGTCTGTGAAAAGGTGGCAGCTATACTGGAGGTGTGCACAGATACCAAGCTACCAAAAATGTGGCAGTTGTAGTAATCTTAAAATGTGTGGATTCATAACAAAGTGTTTGCTTCAAGAATTTTGTTAACCAGGAGTAAGCCTCAGAGAGAAACCATGGCTGCTGGGTTGTAAACTATAAGTTGTTCATTGCTAACAACCATAGTTTATTAAAGCAGCTGAGTTCATTACAACATGACAACCCACAATTCAACAGCAACTCACAGTTCAGTGACAGACCGCACTCAGCCTATATTCAACTTGTGCTTTGGTTGGTTGTGTTCTGTGAACCAAGGCTTTTTTACAGGAAAAACTAAAACTACTAAATAAACATATTATGTAAGTCTGGATTTTTATGATTCAGTGGTTGAAAAGAAGCTAGCTATGGCTGTGTTCCTTTGAAAATGAACCCATAATTTTATATTGTTATTTATTTTATATTGTTATTTTTATATTGTTATTTTTGTATTTTACTTTATGTTGTGAGCTGCCCTGAGGCTTCGGCGAATGGGGCGGCATAGAAATGTTTTAATAAATAATATAAATAAATAAATAAACAAACTTGTGTGATTTAAAAATTCTGTCTAAGGAATTTAGCTTTAGTTTCTGTATCATTCTTTAACATACAGCTTTTACAAATGTTATCTGGCCTTGGCCTGCAAAAGCCAAACCTTGCTAATTCCAGAATCTTGCCATGCACCTTGTTACTTAATTTTGCATATGTTGCAATTCCTCCCCATTAAGTTCTGGTAGCTCAGAATTGCTTAACTTCAGCTGGATCATGCCTCAAATGATTTGATGAATGCATCTCTGTCTCTTACACCTGTGATGGCAAACCTGTTTCATGCAGCTGAATTAGAAGGTGATAACTTTCTAATGTTAGAAAGTGACAAACCTTGTTGTTTGAATTAACCCATCATAAAAGTTGAAACTGGGAGATGGAATCCTGAACCCTGTAAGTATAAAAAAACTTGAATGCTGTATCTTAACACCTCTTTCATAAGGGAATCTTTTTGCTTTGTTATATTTTAAGTGTGGAAGTAGCATCGTCCTTAAAGGTTTTTTACTCCTGATCTTTCCTATATAATTGAGATTGCTTAGTTTTGGTCACATCATGAACCTGACCACTTTACACATTTATGAAGAGGGACTGCTAGGGTTTAGCACTCTGATGATTCCATACCAGTTCAACAATATGTCCTGAGCATTGCGAATTAGTCCACCATATTGGGTGCTTTCAGATGGACAGTTCCCAGCTCATTTATTCAGAAGTACAGCTTTTGTCTAATCTTCCTTAATGGAATGTTGTCAGTAAGAAAGAAGATGGAAGAAGTGGTGGAAGACAGAAGAGGCTTATGGGTGGAACAGTGCTATAAAATACTGTGAATGAAATAGTGCGGTTGCACTGTAGAAGCTCATCTGGAAGCCAGCTGTTGATATTTACGGCAGAAGACCATCACGTATTCTCCAGTAGGAGCACCGATAAAGACAGATTTAATAAACATTATGATAATTCAACTAAATAGGAATGCAGTTAAGTTTTAACAAGGAATGTTTGTTTTATTTTAGTGGCGTTCATTTTCAATTGGATTGGATTTTGCTTATCATTCTGTATAACTAATACCATAGCAGGAAGATATGGTGCCATTTGTGGATTTGGACTGTCCTTGATCAAATGGATTCTTATTGTTCGGGTGAGTGTTTTTGATTATGGATTTTAGGTATGTGTATCTTCTGTAGATTTATCTAAAATATATTTAATTGTATCATGACTAGTAAATTACAATTATATTTAATTGTATCATGACTAGTAAATTTTTATTTCAGCTTAAGCCAAGAAAAAACTTACGGGAATAGGAATTTTAAATGTCATTTAATGCAAACTTTTTATTTTTTTATTTTTGCATTATGTGGTGATACTTCTGGAACTCTCTGCCTTTACACATTACTTGTTTAGTTTCTTGGTTATCTACAAATGCTTTTTGTCACTGACATATGCCATACAGTTTCTCACTTCTCCCAAAGATATGTTGAGGCTTTATGTATGACTGTTAAGTAACATACCTGTGTAATCTCTGAAAAGAATCTGCTATTCAAGTGTTTTCAGTCATCAGACAGTTCTCAAATGACATAAAACATACTTCATCTATGTTATGTAAATAAACCTTATGGATAGAAAAGTCATGTGTTAAGCTGCAAGTCCGGGCCAGCTCCAGGACTGAGGGAGTCCACCAGAAGTTTCATCCTGTGGGCCACCTCCTGTGACAGGACTTTCCTGCTCTGATGCCTGCCCTGCACTCCATTTTTTTAAAAGTATGTGTTACCTCCCTCTAGTCTCAAGTAGCTTCAAGTAGTAGGTTTTGTTTCCGATAGCCAAAAACTTAACTAACCACCGGGGCAGGGAATGGATGCTTCCATGTTCTTCTGATGAAAAAAGATGGCTGTTGCCAGAACACATGGCCGCCATCACATGTTAGTAGCTACCAACTTTTCCTGCATGTAAGCATAGTTAGGACTTTTCTTTCTCCTTGTGAGTTTGTCTGAGTTCCCCTCCCTAGTTCCTTTCTTTTTCCCACAGCATAGTAGTTGAATATTTAGGTACTAGGGATACAACTCACAGCAGTCTTGAATCCCTTGCCCAGTTTGTGTGCTGTGTTGTTCTACAAGTCATGTCATGATGCTACAAGGGTCATAGAATAGTAGAGTTGGAGGGGGCCTATAGGGCCATCAAGTCCAACTTCCTGCTCAGTGCAGAATCACATGTTAAAGTATCCCTGACAGATGGCTGTCCAGCTGCTTCTTCAATGCTGCCAGTGTGGGAGGGTCCACAACAATCTCCCTAGGTAATTGGTTTCATTGCCACACTGCCCTAACAGCCAGGGATGTTCTGGTGTCTAGCTGGAATCTGGCTCTCGCCACTTGATCCTAGTATTCAAGTCCTGCATTCTTCAGATGATTGAGAATTGATCCTGGCCCTTGTCTGTATGATGGCCTTTCAAGTATATGAAAAGTGTGGTGCCCAGAACTGGTCACAGTAACCTGAGGTTGCACATAACTAGTACCAAATAGAGTGGAACCAAGACCCCTATCAACCAGTTATGGTGCTACACAGCCTGAATATATGGGGATTACACAAAGACAGAGAAATGTATCTCTTGGCTGCAGTCTATGGAAATGCCATGGATTTTCATAGGGATAAGAAATCTAAATGACAACTTGGCCACTTCTCATACAAGCACAGTGAATGTTTTACAATATTAAGGGATATATCTGATGGAAACCTATGCTAATGGGTGGTTGTTGGGCTGCATGTTTTTGTTCTTTGTTTTAAAGCTTTAAATAAGGCCCACTAAAGTTTTTAAAATTAATATCCTGTGAAAAGTAGTTTTATATTTCTGATATCTTTTGCCCTTGATGATGTTCTAAAAATTTAAGTCAACAGAATTCTTTATGCTTACTATTTGCTGATACGAAATAACCTAAATTGTTTGACAGGCTTCAATAGGGAAGCTGCAATAGGGAAGGAAATGATGCAGTGGCCTCCGTTTAACTATTGTGTTTCATTCTAACTTCAAAAGTTGCACTGAAGGCTTTATAGTATTGGTGAATTCTTGGAGACACTTGATTTGAATCTTTTTTTATCAGTGAAGCATGTCGTCTGGAGTCCGCTCAAGGCCAGATACCTGTCTCAAAAACCATCTCCATAGATTCCTGCCAAACAGAGAGGACAAAACTGTCTACCATGCTCACTAACAGGAGCGATTGAAATGGCCCTTCAAGGTTCATTTAGCTGCGTTCAGTTCACTGCTGGGAACTGAATGCAGGAGCATCTAGTTTGAAAATGAAAAGAGTTTAATGAATCAGTGGTCTTTATGGAACTGGTAGTCTTGGCAGCGATTATCAGTAGGGGGTGTACAGAAGGTCAAAAGCTCTTCTTTTGTGGGGTCAGTCAAACATCCCCATCTGATAAGATTAAACTAATGTGACTTTTGGTGTTAATATCAAAAGCAGCAGGCTGCTGTAATGTGTTTGAGAGGGAAGACACTGCAGAAAAAGAAAGAACCAACACATTCATAATAGTGAATGTTTGTATCTGATGAGAAAAGCTTAATACACGTTTACAGAGCTTGGTTGGGATTTGTTTGCAAGATATGCAAAACAAGGCACCCCAAACCTTCTCTTATATTACATACAGCATTTGTCTTTCCAAATATATTGGGTGTGTTTCCTTTTTATCCTTATCTGTATGGTCTAAATATGCATTTGCTCTGTCAGTAACCCAGCGTATGCAACAAGTATTATTTGAAATAATAGCTTGCATGTTTAAAGGGCTATTTTTCCCTTTCAGTTCTCAGATTACTTCACTGGCTATTTCAATGGACAGTATTGGCTTTGGTGGATATTTCTTGTACTTGGTAAGTCTAAATCAAAAACTTTAATTTTTCAATTTTAAATAATTTGATGATTTAATAGAAAAATCTAAACTTGGCTTAAGAAAGCTTTTGCACATGTTTGAATGTGTACCTATCTGCACCTCAGCATCAAGAGTTGATATGTATGGGTAAGAGAGCCACCACAGATCAAGTGCCATAGAAAGAATTTTCATATTAACTCTGCTAAGAGCTAATATGAAATGAAATGAAATATGAATATGAAGCATCATCTTCCAAAAAAGAGTTGACATGTTCAGGAAGGAGGTACATGAAACTTGTCCTACAGATATAAAAGTTACAAGTCACAAAATATTTTAATGTTATTTAAAACTAAAACTAAAACACTTAACATGTTTATTCAACGTGATTGTTCCACACCTATATTCAAAATTCCACTGGAAAATCTGACCTTTTCATCCTCTGTGGCAGTCATTGATATTCGATATTACCAACAGTCCTTTGTTTTAAAGTTCAGAAAAATAAAAATTCTCTGGTACTGACTGTATCAAAAGGGGATTTCCTGAATATGTTTACTAAACCCCTGCTATTTTTCATTGATCTTATTCACTCCAAAACACAACATCACAGTTAATTTAAGACTCCTCAAGTATAAAAACTCAAAGTTAAATAGGTTCTGAAAACTTGCTGTGATTTTGAATGTGAGATTGTCTTTCATTTTGAATTCAGTTCATGGAGGCGTCCCCCATGCATTACTCTGTGCATTAATCACTCTGTGCATTAATCATCATTCACTCTGTGCATTAATCATCATTCACTCAGGTTTCTCCTGGTTTTATTTTGAAAAGCTGTCTGCCAAGTTTCAGACAGGGCTGGAAGAAAGGCTTACAAATGTATCTGAGTATTCACCGTGTGTCTTCTTCCTTGTGTCAGTTGGTGATTTTGCCTAGGGATGGAACTCTCACCCAGTCCAAAGCATCTAGCACTGTTTTTAACCCATTCATAATGATAGCTTAGCTTTGGCATTATTTTATTTTGAAAACTCTGTATGTCTTCCTCCAGGCCTTTCATAAATTCTGTGAAACAATAACATAAAAATAAATGTCAACAGCACTAATTCATAGTCAAATAGCCAACAGAAGCAAAATACATTCCCATGTATTCAATAGCATGAAACAAAAAGCTAGGAAACAAGGTGACTTTTCCCAGATTGAAAAAAACAAAATAAAACATTTGGTTGTTCAGTTCTGAAGCAATTTTAATCTGTTAAATTTAAATAAATTTGCATATAGGAAAACCTCACCTTTTTGAGACTTTGAAGGAAGAATGAGAATGTACTCGTCTGAAAACAAAAGCCATTGCTTGCAAGAAAGAAATGCCATTACTAATACATTCCTTATTACAGGAATGTACCAGAATGAAAATAACTAAAAGATGAACAAATGTACATTCCATCAGTTAAAATTGCCTCTCACTAACTGATCACCTGTCGGTCTCAAATATTTAAGTATAACTCTTACATAAAACTAAGGAAACAAAGTGTGAACTGCAAATACCATTTTTTTCTATTTCTGTAGTGTGCACAATACTGAAAGTTTAGGAAGAACAGCAAGCTGCTAAACAAATTTATGCCATTGTTTCACAGGGCGGAAATTCAGAGTTAATCTAAGAATGTGAGAACATAATAAAATAAATCTGAACTGAAAGGTGAAAAGGTTGGAATATTGTCTTGCATGCTTTTGCATTCTCTACAGACCTTGATAATCTATGATCTATTTTATTAGCCGTTCCAAGGTTTTTCTGTTAGTAAGATAGTTAGATTCCCTTCCCCATTTCAGCCTACATGTGTCAGTAGAAATTTGTATAGCTAATAAAGGAGCAATTCGCAAGCATCCCCTTTCTCAGAAACTCCTCCTATTGACACACATTTACAATATCTTAATGTGTTAGTTGCTTCATATGAGAACCAGCCTGGGTATGATTGCCACTGGATTGCCTTGGTATAGACCTACCATAATATTGGCATATGACGCCATTTTTAGGTTTGTAACAATGGAGGAACAGCTGGGCTGCTCACCTGAAAAGGAGTGAGGTATTAATGTGTAATGTTTCTTCATGAGCATATAGTCCCCAGAATTAAAGGGATATGAAGTGAAACAAAGAGGGAACTTTGATATATCATAGGCTGTGTCTCTAAGCCGACTGTTTTCCCTTTGGAAGCACACATGCAGATTTCTAAATGGAAGAAAAATTAGTGAGTATGCAGAAGACAAAGGCATAGAAATAGTAGCTTTGCCAGTAAGTCTACAGAGGTTTCTATGTCACAACTATCTTTAGTAGGCTACTTATTTATATATATTTGGGGTACACTTAGGTCATCCTAGGGAAGGTGATACCACTTCCAGTTCACTAAATTTCTACTCCTCAGCTGCTTGGAAGGAATGGTTACTTTCCAGAAATGACCTAAGTAAGTGTACATTTACAAGCCTGCTTCCATAGGAAACGTGTGTTTTTCAGGCTGAGTACAGTGAACAGTTTAATGAAGTATAATTCAGCACATACGCACACTTAACTACTAGATATATTTATTGTATTATATAGCCAAACAATGAGAAAAATTTGGTCCCCATTTCAGCCATTTGTGTTGTACATGCAAACCATTAAGTAGTGGTACAACACAATCCATCTACTGCTTTTGGTACCTTTAGCTTGAAACAGGTACTTTTCAAAATTCAGTGCAATCCTAGTTGTAAATGTGGGTTGTTCTTTGAAGTTTTCAGTATTGACTGAACTGTACTATGTTGTAGAGGAAATTTAAGGTTTCATCTGATTTCCATGCATCTTTAGTTTCCTTCCATTCTCTCTGGATTCCTGCTTCCCAATTCTTTCTGTGTTTCCAAGCTGTATTGCAATTGATCTAACTTTGAGGACATTCCATTTCTTCTGCATACATATGTGTGAGATGGCAAAATACCAAAGGTTTGCTTCCTTTTAATTAATTTTATAGCAGTGTCCATATCAATCTGTTGTGACCAAAAATGAAAAAGATAAGTATGCATCTTCTAATATGTTTCATATTGTATCTCTGGTTTTAGGCCTCCTCCTATTTTTCCGAGGTTTTGTTAATTACCTAAAAGTTAGAAATATGTCTGAAAGTATGGCAGCCGCTCATAGAACAAGATTTTTCTTCTTATACTAGAGGTAAGCAATGTTGCTCCCTTTGTAGGTAAATACTTTTAAAAGTCTCTGAAGGAAGAGACTTGCCAACCACAAACTAAAATGGTCTTCTCAGTTTTGTACTGGGAAAAAAAGGAAGGGATGTATGAATCATGTCTTCTGCATGTTGGGGGTTCTTAATTTGCTTAAAGCAGAGGTAGCTTGTTGCCCTCCAGATGTTTTGGCCTACAACTCCCATCAACCTTAGCTAGCATAGCTAATGGTAGGAGATTATAGGAGCTGATCTATCTTTGTTATGTAATGAGCAAATAACAGAGGGAAAGAAAATGAGGCAAATGTTCTTGTACATACTTAAAAGCTTGTTTAGAGTTAGACATAGAGAAGATAAACCAAGGCCATGTGAAAGATGTGGGTTTTGAAGAAGGGTTGGAAGGACAGGAATGAGATAATATGTATTATATACAGATTGAAGGAAACAATTTCATGTGGAACAGCACAGAAAACATTCACTTCACTAAGGATTGTAGAATTGGAGGATGTCAGAGGCAGGGATATAATGAGAAATAAAGATTTGAAAGATAGAGTGCTAGAGGACTATGAAGAAGGTTATCCATGGACAGGGAGATCAAGGCTGTATTCATATTAGACAGTGTTTACAATGCTTAAAATTAATAAATCACTTGATAGTGGATACTATTTGAGGTAACTGAGACTGTAACCTAACCATTTTAGTATAGCCTTGTATTAAAGTACATGGACTATTTAAAAATATGACAGAAACTTATGAACTGCTTCTGATGGGAACTTTCAGAATGATTCACACATAGATGAAAATTGTAGTATACTTAGAAGTGTTACATAAAACTGCATCTCCCAAGCATTTTTAAACCAAAGTTCCCTTTAAAAATGTCAACCAGATTAGTTTAATGTGTTTCTCATGGGAAGGGAGTTTCACAGTAATAAGGCTGCCACCAAAAGTTTCTGCCATTAGTAGTAACTGACCATACTTCTAATGATGGTGATGCTTGAAAGAAGACATCTTTTCCCAGCAAGGTTTATCTGGGAAAATATCTTCACTCAGGTGTTAGACGTGAAACCTGCACAGGGTTGAAAGGTTTTTGAGCACCTTGAGTTTAGTCCCCGACGAACTGGTATTCCGTGGAGTCTTGTAGTCCTGGTGAAATATACTTCATTACCTGACACAGCCTCAATGGCTTCAAGAGGCTGTATTCACATATAGGTGAGAATGTAGTGTTGTTAAAAGATATTATCCAGCTCAATATAGTTTTATTTAACTAAAATATAACCTTTTCTTTATTTCCAGAGTGCATCGACCAGGCATTCCTTTCTCATACCAATGTGAACTTCCAGCCATTATGTAATCTTCCCACTGAATAAGGAAAGATGACTACTTAAAACAGATTGGTTTGGAGCAGGATTTTTTTGCCGCTTAATGAATGACAGGGTGGCTTATGCTTAAGTGCCATTTCTGTTCATTCTGGTAAATATTTATATTAAGCATTGCCTTTTTTCCTTGTGCAGATGCACCAACTTTAACAAGAACTTAAAAAAATAAAATCAATGCCTATAGTCTGCTAAGCAGTTGAATACAACCAGACTTGACTAATTCATATTTGAATCTGGAAGAAGTTAAGTGGTAACTTGTTTTCACAGTATTATGTACTATCCACTAGCTGGTCTGAAGGGTACAAAGAACTTGTACCAAATGACTTAATAGTAAACCACTTGGACTCTTTTAGTATATAAATTGGTGGAATCCAATTATGCACATAAAGGTTTTTAAATCATATAATTTGTAGCTCCATAAACGCATGTTGAAATGCATTTTATTGAAGGCTGACCAAGTGCACCTGTCTTATAATGGACTCATTGTGTGAATTTGCTGTTTTTCCATAGATGTAGGTAATAGAAGCAGTAGTCATAATTACTGTCATTTTAAAACCCTGGATTAGCTGATGATTGAATTTAGCATATTCAGTAGAAACTGCATCTACTGTTATTTAGTAGTCCCAATATACGACCCAGGCATTAAGTTATGAGAAGGTTGTGGTAGCTGCTTCACTCTGGCACCATCCCATGCTGCTCTGGAAACACAGGAAGTCCAATGACAATTAGATTACAAGGAGGTGGTTGTGGCTTTAGCCACTGGATTGGGAAAGCAGTGGAACTGCTGCAGCTCCTTCCACATGGTTTCTGCATTTCTGCCTTCGTGGAGCAATGTGGGATTCAGCTATGTTGTGGCAGTAGCCATACCATTCTCAAAACACTTGGATCCGCCCATAGACCTTTGAAAAAGATACTGTGCAAATTACCAGTCCTTATGACTTCTAGAAAAACTTTTGCATTCATAGTTAAATTCCTTTGTTTCACCAGTTTGATCTGCACACTAGTCTCTTGACTAGATACTTTAATTAACACATACCCTTGCAAAATGGCCACCAAGCATGTCTCTAAAGAGCCAGTGGACTTAAGAGGCGGGTCTGAACAAAATAGTCTTCTGAGTGTATGACTAGGAATAATGAATTTGAATCACAAGCCCCTTAGCTCAGTTCATTCTCATGTTCGATCTCATTGGAAGGTCTAGCATAAACAATTGCTAGATGAAACCACGTTTTTAGGTAGGTGGGCCTGTGTGCAGCTCCATCCCTATCGCATCCATCCTTCAGTCAACAGGTGTAACTGGACACAAGTGCAGGTTCTTCAGACATTACAGCTGCACAACTTTCATTCAGCCAGGTGAGTCTGTGAGAGATCCCTGCCCATGTTTTCAGTTAAAAGGAATGGAAGTTACACAACACCAGTTGATAGAAAACCTAGATTTTCAGCGCAGAACATTGATTTTCATTGTGGCTGTGTTTATAGAAAGTCAATTATGTGATCATTTATTATTTAAGGAGCAGCCCAAGTAAGGAGTTCTTTAGTATATTTTTAGAACGTTTTGATTCCATACCCACTTCTATAGCAAATTTATAAACAATAATAGTTTTCAGGCAACAGAAATGATGTTCCTTTTGACTAAACTAATATATCTAGGGCCCTTTGGAGAGGTATTGCAAATACGCATATGTTTACTTTACCCAAACATTTCTGAGACTTAACACTCTGGCATGGAGGGCAACAAAGATCTCTTAAACATATACAACAATAGTCATCTCAGTTTGCTGCCATTAACTAATTACTCTGCATTTCAGGAGTGGGAAATGCACATTTATTCTCTTTATTTCTTAATTTGACCTCTTGAATTTTTAATATTAGCATATAGAGGAATTATATGTTGTCTCATTTAGTACTGTATCCTATTTTGTGTCTATTTTGTTCATAAAGTCAACGGTTTATATTCTTTAATGTTTCAGAATTAATGAAAAAAAGCCTAAGAATATGAGAACACATGCCCATTCTACTTTTCTTGAAAACAGCATTCTCTTATGAGTTCTGACATGTTTCTCTCTGAATTCATTATTATTTTTTTAAATCTCTCTGCTCCCTAGAGACAAGTGACTTTTTGTTTTGGAATAAAGACTTCATGTTTTTGCATTGTACACTCAAGAACCATGTTACATCTTTTTAATAGACCAAACAATATATCGTCTGATCTTTTTTTCTATTTTTACAAATATATTATGAGGCAAATAGGACTGATACGGGAGATTTCAGGATCATGTGTGTGCACATTTCAGATAAACAGCAACTATTGGGAACAAGACAGACTCTGTTACTCCTTTTTCACCGAGCCATGTTCCTGACTTAAATTATATACATTTCCGAGCTCCTGCTTGCTCCACAAGGAAAAAATAAGGTATTATACAGGGTGGAGAGGAAAAGGTGGTAGTTTTCCATAGCTATGGAAAGAAATCCTTTTGAGAGATCTATCCTCCAGGTTTGTATAGCAACCAGGAAACCATGGTTCTGGCTTGAAAAGCATTCTGCTTTGAGGCTCCCGACAGATAAGACCTGCCTTTGCAGTGAGAATGAAACCATTTGCCTTACTGAAGTAGCTTTACTCCTGGGGAGCAGGTGATGGATGGGAGCCTTTCTCCACACTAAGGAACTCTGCCGTGGCAGGAGATAGGAACTGTACTATTTTTCAGCCTGGGGAGAAGAATTGGCATGTCACTTGCTTGGGTACCTTTGGAAAGCCATGGCGCATCCCTTGGTCTGTTCAGGGAACCAGTACGGCCACGGATAAGGGGAATGTAACCTTTCTTTCATTCAGGTTCTGCTTCCATATTTTATCATTGCATTCAATATGGTGTATATCATCTCTGACCCGGGTGGTTTTGTTTCTTCTGAAATATCTTGCATCTGAAGTGAGGTGCCTTGGCTGTACCCAACTCTTTGCGTTAGAGCAATTTTTTATTCCTTTCTCATAATATTGGAACCCACAATCATCTAGTAAAGCTAGTGGTGGGAGAGTCAGGTGAGGTAAAAGGTAGTTGTTCATGTTATGTGTTGTTAAAAGTATAGAATTTACTACCACAAGATGTAGTGTTGCTGCCAACTGGGTTGATTTTGAAAGGGAATTGGAGAAATGTATGGGGGGGAATGCTGCTGATGGCTATGTCTTCTGATGGCAATTGGCTCTCTCCGGTATCAGAGGCAGTAAGCCTCTGAGTATCAGTTGCTGGGGGACACAAGCAGGGGGTTGCTGTTGAACTCATGTCCTACGTATGGGCTTCCCACATGCATTTTGGTGGCCCTGTTTGAACAGAATATTAGGCTAGAATAGACCTTTGGTCTGATACAGAAGGGCTCTCTATGTTCTTTTTTCCTGCATCTTTATGACAGATTAGGTCATGTTTTCCCTAGTGTTGGGAACGGTTTCACTGGTGTCCCTTTTTGCCAGATGGTGAGAGAAAAAAGCTTGCAAACCCTATTAGACACTAAGAAATGTGGGATTTGGAATGTGCACCTTCTGCTGTGGAGCTACTATTGGTCAAAGTTTCAGTGGCAGGAATTCAACATCAGGGCCAGGTGGTTGAAAGAGCATCCGGGCAACACTGTGCCCAGTATGGTTCAATAGCATTTCACAGTTTTGTGAACATAACACATTAGCTGAATTGAAAATTTGGGTTATTCTGTTTCTTGTCACTGTATATTTAAAATAATTTTTGAGTGATCAGAAAAGGGACAACTATACATGACAACCAAATTGCTGTTTGCTTTGAGTATAGAAGAAATTAAATAATAAACAGCAACCAGGTCAACAAATATTTCCACAAGATAAATAGTTGCTTGCTGAGTATCCAGATGAGAACCTGATGGGGAATGAGCTTATTTATTTATTTGGAATTTTTATTAAGTTTCAGTTTCTTGCGTTACCATTCTGCCCACCCAGAAGGCTCAATCAACCACTTTGCTCTCTTCCGCTCTACAGAGAAGAGTCCTTCCTGAATCCAGCTATATAAGCATTTAATGAGTGACCTATTTGTAAAGCAGCTTTCCTAATTGGTAATCACAAATGAGAGTGGCTGTGGAATGCCTAGAGCTTTTCCCTTTTATAAGCTTGTCTTCATTTCTCCTCTGGATGGAATGTGACCAAGGCAGAAATGGCATAAGGTTTGTTCTGCTACAGTGGTGAAATGCAGTGCTGACAATAGCTGTCCACAGCTTTTCTCACCTAGCCGTCATCCAGCAGTGGGGGCGAAAGGAGAGAGAGAGAAAAGAAAAACTGACTCTATATAGAATGCTTTCTATTTCACTTGTTAAGAAATCTAGGTGGGATTCAACATCTTTGAGCATATGCAATTGTTTCAGTATGTCTCTCTCACAGCCTGTGGGCAGAGAACCACGCTGGCTTAAGAAGTAGATAGGCAGGCATCTCTGAAGAACCTGAATTGTGTGGGTCACAGAGCATAAGAGTCAGAGGAAGAGTGCATACTCTCTTCTGTTCCGTCCTTAGTTTTGATGTTTAACATTGGAGTGTTAATTCCCTCGCTCACTCCTGGAAAGTTGTAGAAAAGTAACTCTCTTGATCAGGTTTTTTTCAGACATTAATGTGCAATGACTTCAGTTGGTGCAGTGGATTTAAATGTTCCTCCTCAAGGGGATGCTACTGAAGTGAGTAAACCACGTCTTTCTAGTGGCATTGAGGCAAAAAGTATGTTACTCTAAAGATGTTGAGGAAGTTCAAAGATCCATCCTTCCATTCTAGCTATTGCTTCAGTTGTACTGAATCAGCAATTCCCAAAGTGGATGGTACCACCCCCTGGAAGCAGTGGTATTTTAAATTTGCAGTAGAACAAATAGACCTAATACAAAGAAAGGAGCATGAGGGTGCCAGGGTTGTCACCCAAGAGGAAAGGGGGCAGTAGCCCAAAAAAGTTTGAGGACCACTGTACTAAATAATGCCATGTGGGGGGTGGCACATGTAGCTAGATGGCCTGTAACAAAATTCCTTCCTGCTCTTCATGCCCATTCTCTTTGTGAAGGTTTAAAAACAAAAAACAAAAACGGGGGAATCACGCTGCATTATCACAAGTTCCTCAGTTAAGGCCCAACTTCTTGAGTGTTAAGTAAATGTAATTAGCATATCTACCCTCTGTGGGGAAACTGCAGGACATGACTCACAGAGAGGGAGATTTGACTCCTGCTTAGTGGGACACCATTCTGGAAGCACGTATTTTTTTCCAGGAGCAAAGTTGCTATTAACACCAATAGGAGCTTCTCTTCCCATGTTGGGGCTGTTGGTACAAGGGAAGGTGTTACCTCCCCACTTCCTAAGCTACAGGATCCATTTTTTCTTTCCACTGATTTATTTTCACAAAGCAGGTGAATTTAAAAGTGCAGGCACATCAGCGAGGATTAAAGATTTCAGTGGAATTTTTTCACCTAATAACATCTTTCCCAAAAGAAGAAACTACTAGACACTGCCAAAATGCATTTAAAATAATATTACCCATATTACACCAACAGCAATTAGCTGAATTAGAAAATCACTTATTAAAGAGATGCTATGCTATCAAATGTACATGAAACAAAGGTTTTTGCTAAATAAAATGCAGCCTAAAATTAATAGATGAAACAGGCAAATGCCAAAGTGGTGATTCACTTTGTGATGTCTGTAGCAGTTTCATAAATCCCCCAAAAGGTTGGTGGCCCCTGGCTTCCTTGAAAGACATCTCCATCACTTCTCACCCTTTGCATTGTAAAGTTCACAATCAGTTAAACCCCTGTGGGGTTACACAACAATGTCCAGCAAGAGAGTCCTACCCTCTGCATAAAGCATGTGTTACTGTTGAACAATTTCCCAGACTCCTTGGCAGCATATAACCTTCATGGAATTGTCAGCAGGGGTGGGCAGCTTGTGATTCCCCAGTTGTTCAGGCCTACACTTCACATCAATCCTAGTCAGCATCGCCAATGATGAGGGAAGTTGGGAGTTGTAAGTCAAAAGCTGGAGTGCCACAGCTCCACCTACTTCTATAATGTTCAGAAACTACTGTTCGAGGCTTAGCCTGTATGCCACACTAAAGAGCACTTGGCTGGAGAGGAGAGCAAGAGCAGGTAATGAATCATAAGCCTTTTATATTCTACTTTCCCACTGCTGGGTCCTCTTCTCTGGAATGGCTGCATCAATTTTGTTGTGTCTTGTTAAAGCAACATCTGTAGCAAGGGAGTGAATTGACAAAGTTCCACAGATAGGCAGTCACGATCTTCCATCCTGTTGGGACTGGATGAAATGCTCTGTGGAAGGATCAGGCAAAGGGCACAGGTCCTATTATGGCATGCTTTGGGGATTGTGTAGATAAAAATGGCTGAGAAACTTGAAAACCAGTCATTGAGATCTGGGGTATATAACCACTGTCAGTCCCAAATTCAATATCAGAGAAGCTGTCAGGGCCTGCATTCCAGTAGTGGAATGCCCAGGACCAAAATATCCCAGGTACATACCAGCATGTTTTATTGTAAAGCTCTTCCTGTCAGTAAATGAGCCTTCGAATAAGCACTTCAGCCTTTTGGAATGTGGAAAACGCCCTGCAAACACTGGGAAAACACCAAACTGGGACCAGGGAGAGTAGGGATATTTGGGAAACCACAGAGGGCAGGATATGGTCCTCAAGTAGGCCAACTTTATTTTCATTTATTAGATTTATCCTCTTCATGGATCACTGCCTTTCCATGGTAAAGGGGCTTGCATAGTGCAATGAAGGTATGAGCTATGCCATGCAGGGGCACCCAAGATGGACAGGTCAAAGCAGAGAGCTCTGACAAAAGGTGATCCACTGGAGAAGGAAATGGCAACCCACTCCAGTATTTTTGCCATGAAAACCCCATGGATGAAATCAGAAGGCTAAAAGATATGACACCAGAAGATGAACCCCTCAGGTTGGAAGGTCCGCAACTACTACTGGGGAAGTGCAGAGGGCTACTAGTAGTAGCGCCAGAAAGAATGAAGTGACAGGGTCAAAGCCAAAAGGATACTCAGTTGTAGATGTATCTGGTGGTGAAAGTCCGGTATTGCAAAGAACAATACAGCATAGGAGCCTGGAATGTAAGATCTATGAATCAAGGTAAGATGGACATGATCAAAGATGAGATG